AGTAAAGACTGTCAAATATCTGGTCATGCATCTTGATAAACGGTTAACCTGGGCACACCACATAAAAACTAAAAGAAGTGCTGCTCACATTCAATATAAAAACCTGTACTGGCTGATAGGTCGACAATCTCCACTTTCACTACACAATAAGTTGATGGTGTACAAGTGCATCATCAAACCCATCTGGACTTTAGAATAGAGCTCTGGAGCTCATCCAGCAACTCAAATCTCGAGATATTGCAGAGATTTCAGAACATAGTACTGAGAACTATATCGTGTGCTCCATGGTTTACAAGGAATGCCGAGATCCATGAATATTTGAATATACCAACCATCAAAGAAGAAGTAAATAACTACAGCAAAAAATATAAAGCCCGACTCCTTTATCTACAAGAACGAATTGGCGAGAAACCTGTTGCATTCACAAAACCCAACGCGGTTGAAATGATGGCTCATTAAGATGAACCTAGATCAACGAATGTGAACACCATGTAAATGTAAAAACCATGACAGGGCATGATGCTCACAGGAGCAACTCCCTCCATCGCCGTTAAGAAAACCCATCTCATCATGGCTTTACAAGCCGACGGCAGATTAAAAAGGACAAAAAATAATTCACATGGTGATTGATCGAAGAAAGTAACTGATGGGGTGCTGATCCATGACGGAGGTCAATGACCCTATTAAATGTTACAAAGTTTTTGCCCTGAGTACCTCCCGGTAATTGCCTCCAAACAGCTGTTGTTTTTATGATTTAGGACTTAGGTAATTGTAACTCTTTGTAAGGTATTGTAACTCTTTGTAAGGTATTGTAACTCTTTGTCAATATTCTATAACCATTAAGTTACATTATGGTCTAAAATCGAGAGTGACTCTAACTGGTAAAAATAGCGCGCTATTTAATCAATTATAAGTGCCTTTATGGATAAAACCTTAGGTTCTTAAAATTCTCTATAACAGCTCATGCAGCGCTTATTAACCGACTTCAAAAAAGGAGGCGGTTCTCAATTCGTCTGTAATTGTTTTTTAACCGACTTCAAAAAAGGAGGAGGTTATCAATTCGACTGTATGTTCTTTTTTTTCTTTTGTATGTATGTTACGCGATAACTCCGGTATTTGTGAACCGATTTTCATGATTCTTTTTTTGTTGGAAAGGGGGTACTTCCATAGTGGTCCCATTTCATTTTGAAGAAAATCATCCACCTCGAAGGGTGGCTGTTCACGCATGAAGATTCATTTTTATAGCGCCTAACTCTAATTAAGAAGCAATTACTTTAATGGTTGATTTTGCTATTTCTCCAATTCAAGTCGTTTTTCTCTCAATGTACTTTGAGTAGTGAGAACCGATTTTTATTATCTCCAGTGTCAAGTCAATATTTCAATAAAGCTTAGCAAATAGACGTAATTCCACGTACTTTTAAGGTCGGTTTTTTTAGTACTTTGTACTGATATTATTTGTTTGTATGTTACGCGATAACTCCGCTATTTGTGAATCAATTTTGGTGATTCTTTTTTTGTTGGACAGAAGGTACCTCAGATATGGTCCCTATTTAAATTTCAAGAAAATATTCCATCTCTAGGGGTGGCAAACTAGGGGATGAATGACATTTGAGGCAGGCTTTTTTAACCGGAGGTTAGGTTATTCTTATCACCAAAATGTTAGTTATCAATCATATGTGGATAAGAATGGACTAATGTCCATGGGCCCTCTGAGTCCAATACAATAATGCGTTTAGGGTGTCGACGGGGCTGCCCTTGTACTGCAGCGCCTCGGACATGTTCGCAGCGGCGCAATCGACTGCTTCTATACAATCATGCGCAAACGAGCGTCAGCACTGGTGAGCACGGTACGGGGCAGCTCCAACTTCATCCTATCCGTGACAGCGGACAAGTTCGACTGTCCGTAGATAAACTATGTTTGTCCCTTGCATGTCATTACTAACATTTAGATCATAAGTACTTTTGTTACTAAGAGTCTGTAGATTTTTGTCAGTTCAATTTTTTATTTCAATTTTTAAATTCAATTTTAATTATGTAAGTTTTAAATATAATATGACAATAATATAATATGGATTGTTACTTACTTTTGTTACTAAGAGTTAGATTTTTGTCAGTTAAATGTTTTCTTTCAATTTTCAATTTTTAAATTCAATATTAATTATGTAAGTTTTAAATAAAATATGATAATAATATAATATGGATTGTATAATTATCTAAAATAAAATATTTTTTTATGTTTAAAATAATAAGTAGGTAATGAGTGGAAGCAATTCTGTTGATACATTTAGGTGTAATAATTCCATATTCTGTCCACCCAATAGTGAAAGGTGTGTGTAGCAGTTTCCAGCGTTTAATAATAATAATAATAATACTTTATTTCGGACCAACAAGTTATCCATAGTTTGTTAGTAAAGAACTTAGGAATAAGGTTAGGATGTTGCTATTCAAATGCTAAAATTACAATAAAATAAGATAATTTAAAAAAAATGAAAAAAGATGAAAAACAAAAAAAATGTGGCAGTCAATTTTATCAAACACCATCTTTAGCTGTTGGGGCACCCGCGCACACGTCGACAAAGCGAGGCAACCCGCTTCCTCAGAATGGCATGAAAGTCATCTGTGCGTGACTCAGCGAACATGCCTGAAGCGCTACAGTGTCGTGGTAACCCCAACAACATCCGAAACGCGTTGTTATATTGTACCCTCAACGTATTTACCTCCCGACTACAACGTGCAAACCTGCGAGCGAGCATATTTGCTCTGACTGCAAGGGCTCTCCGTACTCTCTCTATATCCACCAGATCGGACTGATCATCCGTCAACCAGTGACCCAGGTATTTAAATTTAAAAACTAGTAAGCTCACTGCCACAAAGGGAGACCGACGGTACAACGCCCACTTCTCCACCTCGCGGCTTAAACACCAGGAGCTCACTTTTCTTTGTATTATACCCGAGTCCTTGGGCAACAGCATAATTCTCACAAATCTTAAGTAGCTCGCGGAGGGCACATATTGATGGGCTCAGCAGCACCATGTCATCTGCATAGCTGATATTCTTAACTATAACGCCATCCAATGAGCAGCCAACATTAGTACTGGTGAGCTCACCAATCAATGCATTTACATACAGGTTGAAGAGCTCAGGTGACGTTAAACCCCCCTGCCTCACCCCGCATCCCAACCTGTATGGTTCCGACAGCGACCCAGCCCACTTAACATTGTTGATCTGGTTTTGATACCAAAACTCGAACAGCCCAACAATCTCAAACGGGAAATTTGTCTCACATCTCAGCTTATGCTACAACACGTCATACGAGATCATATCGAATATATTAATAATTGCCATACGAGGGTCATGCCAAAAGAAGTAACATTTTCAAAAATTATAAAACTTATTTTTTATTACAGATATCAATTTTTTCAACATATTCACCGTGAACACGTATACACTTTTCCATTCGTCTAAACCACTTGGAAAATATGGATGACCACTCTTCTTTAGACATTTTAGAAATCTTCAAGTTATAAGCAGCCAAGGCGTCTTCTTTGCTTTCAAACATCTTGCCTTTTAATATTTCTTTAATTTTTGGAAAGAGGTAAAAATCACAAGGTGCTAGATCAGGGGAATATGGCGGGTGACACAGGATAGATACATTTTTTGAATGAAAATAGTCCAGTGTTCTAGCAGAAGTGTGCGGAGCGGCGTTGTCGTGATGCCAGAGGAGGTGCCGAATTCCTGACTTCGGCCGCTTGTCACACCAAGCTGACAACACTTTTGGGGCACGAACTGTTATATACCATTCGGAGTTAAATGTCCTTTGATCCTCTAGCACTACAAGAGCAAGAGAATGTGTCCCGTGTTGCAGAAAAATGAGGCGATGGCTTGTTTCTGTGTACTTCGTGTACGACATTACGTTGGCGTCGGCTCCTCTTCAAAGCACCACACAATTGGGCTGTCGCTTTGTTTCAGGATCATACTTATATAACCATGTTTCGTCACCTGTCAGTATATCATAAACGTTTTTTTTCTCGCCAGGGTCGAATTTATCTATCATAAATTTGCACCAATCCACGCGACGTACTTTCTGCTCATCGTTAAGTTTGTGCGGAACCCATCTCGAACAACGGTTATGGAGAGAGAATTATCCGTGAATATAGTTTGCAATGCTGCTGATCCAATGCCCAGTTCTCGCTCAAGCTCTACATACTTATGTAGTTCGTCGGTTTTCACGAATTACTTTTTCGACAGCTTGAACGTTTTCTTGAGTAACCGTGGTTGGCGGCCGACCTGACTACGCCTCATCTTCAAAGCTTCCGCGTCCTCTTTTGAATTCAGCAAACCAACTGAAAACTGTAGCTCGTGAACAAGCAGTATTACCAAAAGTTGTGGGTAAAAGTTCAAAACATTATTGCGGATTTAAACCATTTTTGTAGTCGTAATAATAAATCATAACACGAAAATCACGTCGAGAGAGCTCCATTGTTGCGAACAAATTTCCCGCCAGATTGTTTTTTTTTATTTTTTTTATTATGGCTTTGGCAAAGCCATCAGCCTAAACATGAAGTTTAAATATGTTTCTGTAAATATGGCCGCCACAAAGAGGATAGGCAATTTGAGGCGGCGTGGTTGGATTGACTCGGGATTCCTTAAAACGGGCCGATACGGGTATTTTAGTTCGAGATTCGTATAATTTCGCGTTTTAATCTTCGATTATGGCACAATAGCACTATCCTATCCCACTTTAAACTAGATTTCACAAAATAATTGAAAGTCAAAATAAAAACGACACTTTTCCCTCCAAACGGTCCAGAGCGAATCCCCGCCAGATTCTCCGAAAAATAAAAAAATGGATAAAAAAGAATTCGATTTAAGACGTTCCATTTACAAATTTATTAGCAAATAAGCTGCCTTTACGACGGTGTATAACTTGCCAGTATCAAACAAGTGATTAAAGAGTATCTAAGTTCTTTTGACACGACCTTCGTATATTTGTTGGACAGTACAAGACGCATTGTGTGGCTCTGGTGCTGTGCCTGAATGTAGGTGTGGACCCCCCAGACGTTGTGAAGACACAGCCCTGTGCACGCCTCGAGTGTTGGATTGGTGAGTGTTCCTTTCATGGTAAATATGGTTTTTGTCATTAATGAGATAACAAGGAGTATTATAAATTTGACGCGTCATTACCGGCAGACCCCAACTCCTTGTCGCCGAGCAAGGCGCTGGAGTCGATCGGGCACGCTCTGCAAGCGCAGTACGAGCGCTGGCAGCCGCGCGCTCGCTACAAGCAGTCGCTTGACCCTACTAGCGACGAGGTACGTTTAAAAGCTCGCCACACCGCACCACGACGCGAGTCTGTGATGGCCTTTATATTTACCTTTATTATAGACTTTATTATAGAATTTTCATAGAAATTCTATGATTCTTTTATTGATTATAGAAATGCTATGTGTAATTTATTTATGTATGTCATATGGTGTTGCTCACCGTAAAGATGTTTAAACAAGTACGCCTATTGTCGCAATGCGTTTGCTATCACAATAGCAAAACGAATGCTTCGTTCCAGGTGAAGAAGCTGTGCTGCTCGCTGCGGCGCAATGCGAAGGACGAGCGCGTGCTGTTCCACTACAACGGGCACGGCGTGCCTAAGCCCACGGCGCAGGGTGAAATCTGGGTGTTCAACCGCGTGAGAATACTTCCATTCCAGGCTTTTTTTCTGCGCGCTACCGGCGCACGGTGTCCACGGCCGTTACCCACGATGCTTGTTTAAATTTGATATCGAAATGAAACAACCTCCGGCTGCCGCAACAGAGTTGAAATTTGTTCAATGTACTCTTCTACAGGCGTACACGCAATACATCCCCCTGTCGATGTACGACCTGCAGACGTGGATGGGCGCGCCCTCTCTGTATGTGTACGACTGCTCCAACGCTGGCGTGATCATCGACAATTTCAAACAGTTCGCGGAGCAGCACGAGCGGGACTACGAGGTATGAACAATAAATACAGTAGAAGTGGTTAGTTAGCGTCACACACGTGCCAACAGTAGGCCTAAAGAGACCTACTAGAACTCAGTATGCCATTTTCATTTTATACGGTATGGTTGTGTCAATTCTTTCGCGCAATTCTCTAAGAAAAATGCCTTACTGAGCTGTTTTGGAGTACAAAAATGATAGCCGAACTATGGCCGCACCAAAAATATTACCTGTGGTGGTAATTCTTATCATCGGTGCGTATTATTATTTTGATAAATTTACAATTTTCTGTTTATGGAATTGATTTTTTGTACTGTAACAAACGAAAGTAAACATTATCTCAGAGCAATGTAGTCGAGTTTTGTATTTCTATCTTTTGGAGAACTATGTAATGTAAGTTAACAAAATTTAGCGAAAAAATGCTTCATGAGTGTTTTCTTAATTTTAAACTTTATTAATCGAAATTAAGCATTACGCAACACGTGCGTTAAAGAAGATATCTGTTGTCGAGAAGGTACTACTTTCTATTCGTTTAGATGTCAGTCGTTCGTCGTAATCCAACTACTGTAGGGCTAGCACAACAGGGCGCGACTAGCGCGAGAGCGACATAAAGCGCGAGATACATCTATTCTCGCATAGAGGTCCTGTGGTATACGTCATTCTCGCGCAAGTCGCGCCCTGTCGTGCTACTGGCCGCAAGATGGCAGCAAGTTGAATAAAAGAACAATGGCAAAATCATAGTTAAAAGAATTTTCAAATTATAATAGCGGCCTATCTAAGTCTGGAAATAAAATTATATTTAAAAGAAACTCTTAATCACTAATTAGTCTGTAACCGGACTGATATCTACAACGATCAGTTTCTTGACGTTGAGCGACACTAGCCACTAAAAAAGGAATTTCAGTACCTACATATGGATATGGTCCACATTTAGTTCACGTAATATCAAATGTACTGATTCGACCGATTTGTAATAAGCTAATAAAATATTAACTAAGTAGTTGATTTTACATTACAAAAAATAAAGGCGATAATTTCTTCTTCAAAATACCACGCGAGAAAATGGTTAAGCTGACAAAAAGTTCCTAAAATCAGGGATAGATGGCATGTTTCACAAAAAAAATAATTTGTGTCCGAGTTGCCAGTGCAATAATCTGTGGAATGTTATTAATTAACTCAGTTTTTTATAACTTAACTTCATGTCTTTTGACCATACCAGTATACAAAATAATTTCCTCTGAACTTTCGTCACGTCACAATTCCACGGCACCGTTCAGCTTCTATTAACTCTGTTTAAGGCTTTTGTGGTGTAAGGGGCGCCACCTAACACCTACGGTAATAGGCTCTGGTGACCCGCTAACACGCAATGGCCCATCGTGGCGGGGAAATGGTCTAAACCCCCCATAATGAATGTCACAGAAAATTATCCCCAAGTGTCCGGCGGTGCCAGTAGCAACCGCGGCGCTGACGGACGTCGTGGAAGCTCTGGCACCAGGAGTTCTAATCTCCGCGTGGGATTCGACAGTCAAACGACACTGGCCCTGGCCACTTATAACACTGCACACTGCGGTCGGACGAGAGGATCGTCGAGTTGGAAGAGGAGGTGGACAAGTTACACAGGGACATCGTGGGGCTGTTGGAAGTCCGTAGAGAGGGGGAGGACACAATAGCCCTAAAATGCGGCAACTTGTTCTACTTCAGGGAAGGTGAACACCAGTCCCAGAGTGGTGTCGGGTTTGTCGTCCACAATTCCCTCATTGGCAACATTACATCCATCGGAAGTGCGTCGAGTAGGGTTGCATACCTTATACTCAGTAAGTTGACGCTATGTTTGAAGACATAAGTCGAGCCATACATACCTCCCAAACACACTTCAATTTCACGCGCCAAATTGGGCAGTCGAAGGGATGATGAGCCGAGGAAGGGGAAATTTGGTTATTGGCAGCGAAATTCCAGGGACCAAAGGCATGGAAAAGGAGGGACTCTTTATGATGAACTCCTTCTTCCAAAAGCCGCCTCAAATAAAATGAACTTGGTTAAGTCCCGATGGTGTTAGAAGAAATGAAATAGACTTCATATTGACGGACAAGAGATAGACGTTCAACAATGTCTCGGTGATCAATAGGGTGAAAACTGGAAGCGATCACAGGATGGTAACAAGCTTGTTGAATATCGACGACAAACGCTAGAGGTCACGACTGATGGAAGTCTATTCTGCGACTCAGCGGTGCCCATATAAATGATCCGGAAAAGTTTCGGCTCGAACTTCAGAATCGTTTCGACTGCTTACAGCACTGCATCTCTGTACACGAGATTAGCAACAGTTGGTGGAGACAGTTCACACTTTAGGGTCAAAATTCTTTACGACCCGCTGCAAGGACAGGCCGCAGAAACTCTCCGATCATACTCTCAAACTAATGGCAAATCGACACACTATGACGCTGCAGTCCTCAGAGGATGCTAAAGCCTACAGACAGCTCAATAGACACATGGAAGACCATGCGACACGACATACGGGTCTTTAATACCAACAATATTAAAGATTTTGTTGCTGGTTCAAAAGATCCTAGAGCCAAGCTCATCCGACACTATCTATACCGAGGATATCCCGGATATCAGTCTGTACGCGATTAGGATGGCTCTGAAACAGCTAAAATACAACAAGGCACCGGGTGAAGACTGAATTACATCGGAGCTTCTGAAAGCGGGTGGAATACCGGTACTAAAAGTCCTTCAGAGGCTCTTAAATTCAGTCTTATTCAAAGGTTATACGCCAGAAGCGTGGAATAGAAGCGTGGTGATACTCTTCTTCAAAAAGGTAGGTAATACCCAACTGAAGAGTCTCGCGCGCAGATTCGATGACTTCCAGCCCCCCGAACAAGCCCGTTTCCGAAAAGGCTTTCAGTACTATAGACCACATCCTCACTCTGCGGCAGGTTATACAGAAGACCGAGGAGTATAACCTGCCATTATGCTTCGCATTTGTGGACTCTGAGAAAGCCTTTGATTCAATCAAGATTTGGGTGGTGCTAGTCTACAACGATGCCACATTGACTATCGATATATCGAAGTGTTGAAGTGTTTGTATAGAAACGCCACTATGTCAGTTCGACTCCAGGACCAGTGCACAAGGCCTATTAAATTGCAAAAAGGGGTGCGACAGGTAAACGTTATTTCTTCGAAACTGTTCACCACTGCATTGGAAGATGCCTTCAAGTTACTGGACTGGAAAGGACTCTGCATCAACATCAATAGCGAGTACATCACTCACCTTCGATTTGCTGACGATATATACGATGACGATAGATGTTATGTAATTGGAATAAAATACAGTTAGTGTATTATTATATCAAAAGAAACTATAAAATCCTTCATCATCATCATATCAGCCGGAAGACGTTCACTTCTGAACAGAACATCCCCCAAAGATTGCCAGACTAGCCGGTCAGACACAACATGCATCCATCTAGTAGGGGGCCGTCCCGAACGCTTTCCGGTTCGTGGTCTCTATTCAAGAACCTGT